AGGCCCCCCAGTCATTCGTCGCTGCAAATTTCATAAGGTCCGTGACTATTGGCCTTATCCACCATGTCGGGCACGGTGCTTGAAGCGTGCTAGCTGACGGCCAATCATACGATGTGCCTGCTTGCATTCTGCTTCCTCTTCGATAGTGGATGCCTGTTGCCACTTCTCCCAGATAGTGGCCCTCTGTCGACGGAGATCTTGAATATGCAGCATATCTTCATCCGTGTACGGGGTCCCTAATTGGTTGGTAGATTTACCTCGACCAAGAGCAGAATTCGCTGCCGTGACCATTGTCTGTGCAGTCTGGGCCCAGGACAAGGTTGTTGCAATAGGTGCTGCCTCCTCATGAAGACCCTCCTCTCTGATTTTTTGAAGAAAGGCACCTGCCTCGGGACCGGGTACTGGTCCACCTGAAGCAGAAGATACGGCCGGAGCGGGTGGTGGTAGCCCTGGAGGTGGGGGAAATTCAAGATCTTCGGGTGGAAGATCATGTTCGCGCTGAAACTCCTGGCCCAGGTCCTGGAAGGGGCCCCCCTCGTCGTTGTCCATCTCGAGGCCTGGGGGGGCCCGTGGAGCCACAGGTGGGGGGGGGTGGGCGGCGGGTGCGGCAGCTGCTGGTACGTCAACCTCCTCAGGATGTCCTGACTCCAAGATGGCGTCCCACAAATTGAGATGATGTTTGCAGCCCTCGTCGGCCGCCGCGTCGGCCCAGTCGTTGCCGACGCCCCCCGAATGGCCCTTGACATGTGTCATGGTAAAATCTCTCGACCTGCTCACCCTGCGATAGAATGATCTGCCCGTGGAGATGAGTGCTCGGTTTGTGCCTGGCCTCCAGCTTCCAACGATCATATTCATAGCATACTTAGAGTCGTAGTGGAGTGTGATGTAGTCTTTGTCAGTGGTATGCTCTAGAATCCACCGCATCGCCATGATCATCGCTGAGAGCTCTCCAGTGTTGTTGGTCAGCATCTCGGCGCCTAGGAATATATTTTGAAGAAGCGGTGTCTGTGCTAGGACCACTGGGCCGTAATCGTCCTTCCACTTCTGCCCAGTAGCTTCTATCACCGACATGCCCCACCCAGCAGCACCCTCGTTCCCATATCCGTCCGTGAAGATGCGGATGTGGCGGCACCCTGCACCATGACACTCAATTCGTGTACTGCTCACGGTGGGGCGCCACGAGGGTGTTGCCTCTAGAAGTCGTTGTACTTCTTGGCGGTATGCTGTACGTAGTTTTGCAGCCTCGGGCGAAGGTCCTCTCATTTGGAATACAGCCAATGGTTTCAACAACTTCGCCTCTTTCTGCATACGTTGTCGGTGTTCATATTGATTCTTCCGTGCGGCTCGTGCTTGTCGTGAATGTGGTGTGGCTAACGTAATAAATATATGCTTACACATATGATCCGATATTCCCCAATGTCGTGTGCTGAGGCCCTGCGTAGATTTGTGCATATCCATACTGAGTACATACTTATCCAATTCATACCATTGTCCAGTGCGTTGATGACGCCATGTACCGCGATTCAATATCTTATAGAAGGAGTCGGTGTTGACGAGGTTGGAGGTGGAGGAAAGCCAGCGCAAGGAAGCCTTGCCACCCTCGGTGGTCTTTTGTCGCATAGATTCTGATCCCAGCTGCACTTCGTTACATACCACATCTCTCCCCACATGGCCGTTCCAGTCCTCGCCGATGATCTCTGACCCTGCATGTGCCAATTGGCACCTCCGACGAAGCTCCGACAAGCCAGAATATGTTTGGGTTTGATACGATGATGTGCAGCTGGTGGGCATGTATACTGAATAGATCCATATCCAATGATATGCGTCCACCAACAGAAGTAATGCCATGCAGCGAGCTCTCACAAGATAGTCAACGTCCCGTCGGGGCTGCAAACTGAAGAGGCTGCCCCCCATGCCAACTGTGCTGGAAGGTCGAGTGTGATGCCCGCGGTGTCGGTCATAATGAAGGTGGTGTCTTCAACCTTGACGACCGTGGGAAACATGTCGGAAGACAAAAACTGAATTGTGGAGCTCACTCAGAAGGCCGATGTTTTATTTGAACTCCTTCTGACGTCTGACTAAGCTCTGAAACTTGTCTCGATTGTCATGCCGAGACCAATCAAACCCTTGAGTGTTCACGCACGCCAGTGATAACTGTTGTTTCACAGGACGCCGTGAGGGCCTCGCAGGATAACGAATTCTGAATTTACGTCGTCCCCCCATCGTAGCGTTGACATTGAAGCTCACGACGCGGGGCAGCCGATCATGTCTACTTGCGTCCTTCTCAGCAGCGTCGTAATGTGCACTCTGCGGAGGCAGGGGCACTGCCACCTCCTCACCACCACTGCGAAATAGTGAAGAGAGGCGCCTGACTATCTTCGATCCGCTTGTCGTCATTGGAGAGACTTAGTCAGTACCGCATTCAAGATCATGAAATCGTTGTCGCACTTGGTGGCCCACGAAGTGTAGATCATGATGATGTCGGTGAACTGCTTCTCCGTGCACCTGTGAGAGGTGCTCTCCAGCACGGTACAATAGTGCAACGCGCTCGTGACCTACGGGCCGGCCCTCCTGGCCTGACGCTGGGCCTCTGCCGGCCTTTTTCGGAAGGCAGGGAAGGGCGCCGGCCTTGCGCCCGCCCGCACTGGCCCCGTCGGGGGGAGGAGGACGACCATTTGGACCATCTGGACCATTTGACCAAGCACAGCCGTGCGGGGGGGGGGGGGGGGGGGAAGAGGGGGAGAGGAAGGCAGAACCCCGAACGGAGGTGCTTTGGTGCAGGCGGAGCCCCGCCTCACCGCCAGACCCACGCAACCGCTACTGGCCAGCTTGCCCTCCACAGGAGGGCCAACTACCCAGCAGCGGCGGACGGTCCTCCGTCCCCTTCCTGGGGCCCAGCGGCCCTCTCTTACGCTCTCGCCAGGCTTCCGAGGTCACGCGCACCGAGGGCAGCCTGCAGGGCCCTCAGTACGCCTTCTCTGCGGGGATACTTGCCCTCCTCGATGCGCTTATATTCTCTCGGCCCTTTCGGGAAATGCCCTCACACTTGGCCGCCAAGTGGCGCCCATCTACCGTGGCATATTTGCACATGTGGTGCAAAAACTCAGGAGGAAACGCCCCCACCGCTGGGCGGTGTGGGATGGATGCGCTTCCCGCCCCGCCGCCAACCCAACGCCTCCCGCCCCCACCACGCAGACAAGGCGGCCACGGCACTGGTTCTCGGCAGCCTCGATGAGGCGAGAAGTTGGCGCCACAATGTTGCACTCGCTGTATCTGTCCGCTCCCCTGCTTCTCTCGAACAGATGACTGGAGGCGCGCAGAGCTACTTTCAGCTTCGAAGGGGCTGGGGGGGCTAGGGAGGAGGAGGAGAGGAGGAGGAGGAGGAGGAGGAGGAGGAGGAGGAGGAGGAGGACGAGGAGGAGGGAGGAGGAGGAGGAGGAGGAGGAGGAGGAGGAGGAGGAGGAGGAGGAGGAGGAGGAGAGGGGGAAGAGGAGGGAGGAGGAGGAGGGAGGAGGAGGAGGAGGAGGAGGAGGAGGAGGAGGAGGAGAGGAGGGAGGAGGAGGAGGAGGAGGAGGACGAAACCGTGCGCTGCTCCCTCGGGGCTCCGCGGGGCCCAGTGGGAGTGGGGATCGCTTCGGCAATCTGGAAGGAAGGCCTCGAACCAGCGCAGCCAGCATCGAACCGGGAGGCTGAACCGAAGCAAGGAATCGGATCGAATCGACTCTGTTCCGGAGCGGGCTGCGTCAGGACGCGTGGCGATGCAGCCTGATCCTGGCGCGGCCGATCCGAGGCAGTCCGTTCCCACGCCCTTCCGTGCCCGCGCACGCAGGTCGTCGTAAAGCCCGCCCCAAAAGGCACAGCAGCGGCACGTGGGGAAATCAAAAGGCACCAGTACCGCTGCTCCCCGGGCCTTTGTCGGCGGGGCGCGCTCTGACCAAAATTTCGAAGCGAATCCAGTGCGCTCTGACCAAAATGTCGAGTCGAATCCAGCGGGCGGTGGCGTGGCGACGAAGTCCTCCCAGGAGGCCCCAGGAAGAAGGAAACGAGCGAAGGGCAGCGGTATGACTGGCTAATTACCTCTTCCTCCCCTGAGCACCGGCAAGCGTCGAGCCGCGCCAAATCGTCGGAATATCGGAAAATGGCACGCGCAGTCGGATCGAGCCGGGCTGCGCGTCGGAGCGGAGTCGATAGACCGAGTCGGCCCCGCAGCTCTGGACCCTTTCCCGGGGGCAGGTCTACCCATCGGTCGGAACAAATAAATAAAAATATGAAGTAGGAAGGCGTTGGAAGTAGATTGAGCTTCCGCCCGCCACCTGAAGAGGAGGGAGTAAGGGAAGCCACTCGACTCTTGAAAGTAGGACGGCGCTTAAAATGTATTGGGATCTGGGAATCCAAAAATACCTACTTTCAACAACCGATGGGTATGCACTGTGATGCGCAAGTCTGGAGTGAGTGGAACCACGCACTCGAATGTACCGCAGCACACAGTCGGGATGCTGAAGTAAATGCCGACAAACAGGGACCGAAACCCTTTTTTGGCCCCCAGAGCGCCTGCGTGCACCAGAAGAGTTAAAGGAACAGCATCTCCGAACACAAACTGTTCCGTATTTCAGCGTTTTGGCTGTAATCGAGATCGAGCCGCCTGAACGTCCAAGAAAATTCGGAGAGCGGCGCACCACGACAGGCCACATCCCGACGCGGGCCGCCGCGCACCCCGCGATCGTATCGGATCGGCCGCGCCAGGATGCACAGCATGGTCGCATGCAAGCATGGTCGCATGCAAGCATCCATTTTTTGCGACGCGCACGCAGAGCGACCGGTCAAGCGCCTCGGCGGCGCCGTACCCAGCTCAAGCGCGTGCACCTAATTAGGTGTGGAAAGGGGGGGGGGCGCCACGCACGGCACTGCATCGTCAAGGTCGATCGGAATCGGGTCGGATCGGGCCGGCCAGAGAACCGACGTCGGGCCGATGAGATCGAGACGCGGACCCCGCCCGAGGCCTCGAACCCCCTCTCGAAGCAGCGTTCCGCCTCGCCCGCGGGCCCGGCCAGCTGGAGCCACCAGAGGTTCAGGCAGAAAAACCCCCCGACGCCCGGCGGCGCCGCGTTGGGCCCGAGCAGCGTCGCGTCCGAGGCGCCCAGCAGCTTCACCTCTCGCGGCGGCTCTCCCCAGACATGATGGCGTCTTAAAGAAGTCAGGACGGGAGGTTTTTCGCTATTTTCGGCCTCGGGGGGCCCTCGCCGGGCCTCGGGACCGTCAAAGAAAGACTCAGGACGAAGAACCGGTCCCGGGAAAGGGGTCGGGACTTCCGGGGACGCCGTCCTGAAAAAATCAAGACGTTGCATGTCTGGGTCCCTGTTCGTCCTTCCCCGAGATCCTGGCGGTGCTTTTTTTCCACAACGGGCGTGCTCGCCCGGCTTCGGGTTCCTGGGCCCCTCCCGGGTCGATCCGGCTCGAAGCAACGACGCAGGCTGCCGGGGTCCAGGGCTCTGGTCGTGACTTGTTGCGATGCTGCAGTCTTTTTCGCAACGACGGCCCCCAGGGTTGGGGGCCGACTTTGCGACTGGGACTGGGCCGGCTACGGCAAGAGGCGGCCCCAGGCAGGAGTGACCTGTGGTGCAAGGCCGCAGGTGGGCGCGGGGGGGGGGCGAACCCAAGCGCGCCAGCCGCTGCCATCGCATCGACTTTTCAGCGATCGGGGGACCCCCCCCTGGTGCCCGCACCAAGGGGCCACTCCGGCGAAAGGTCACCCGTGTGTCTAGTCGAACGTCGTCCCTCGAGCAGACTGGGGCCAAGCGGGAGACCCGCCGCTGTCTCCCCTGGCCCCCCCCCTTAGCCTCGACGCGCCGCCGCCCGCCGCACTCCGCGCTCACGGCCCGCACGGCGGCCGCGGCCTCCGCGAGCCGCCCCAGCGGTGCGCAGTACTCCATCGACCTCCACGCCCCCTCCGCTGGCTCGGGGCCGTCGGCGCCAGGCTCTCTGGGCAGCCTCAGCTCGGGGCCGAACCAGCTGCGGCCAGTGTACGGCGCCGCGCCGCCGGACGCGCCGCCCGCGCCCTGCGGCCCGGCCCGCCGCAGCTGCACGCACGCCACGTTCTCGGCGCCGCCCTCCGCGCCGAGCAGCCAGTGCAGCATCAGGTGCTCGGCCCCCGCGTGCAGCGCCCGCACGGCCGCCTCGGTCAGCGCCTCCGCCTCTGGGAGCCACTCCACCACGCGCCGCACCCTGTAGGCCGGCGAGGTGCGGAGGGCCAGCTCGCACACCACGCCCACCTCTCGAGTGGGGGATCGACTTCAAAGCTGATTCACCCAAAATCGATTTGTTCGTCAAGTCTGCGAGAATTCGTAGAATGATCCGTATATCCACGAACACTCTACATACTTCTCTCGTGGATTCGACACGAAAACCAATGTTGGGCAAATCAATTCTGTAGTCGAACCCCTACTCGAACCTCCCCCCGGGAGAGGCGCGCGGCGCGGAGCCAGGCGTCCTCGGGCCCCGGCCCTGCCGCAGGGGCCTCCGGCCCGCCCGCCTCTCCGCCGGCCCCCAGCCAGCGGGCCTCCCCGTCGCCGCCGACGACGAGCAGCCCCGCCACCTCGTCGCTGAGGGTGCCGAGCTCCAGGCTGGAGCCGTGGCTGCCCGTGGCGCAGGCCCCGCCCGCGGTCTGCTCCTGCAGCACGGGCGCGGAGCGCAGGCACAGCCCCTGCGCGGCCAGCAGCCGCGCCAGGTCGCCGAGCAGGATGCCCGCCTGCACCACGGCGAGGCGTTCGCCCCCCGCGGCTGGTGCCAGCCGGAGGAAGCGGCTCATCAGCCGCATGTCCATCCTCAGCCCAGATCTGCCCACCTCCCCCTCGGGGCCCCACGAGTGGTCGGTGCCGATGGCCCTGACGTGCTGCGCCCTCCGGCGGGCGCCCCGGACTGCCGCCTGAACCTCCGCTACGGAGGCTGGGCGGCAGGCGTGCGCTGGCGGCGGGTAGCGCCTGCTGCCAGTTGCGTCCACCATGCGCACGTCGCCGCGCACTGGCAGCACGAACCAGTCCTCCTCTGCCCCGCGCGCCGCCAGCAGGTCCGACGGCACCACCACGCCGGGGCTCGCTCCCGCCCCGGCAGGGTTCGCGCTGGCCTCAAGGCAAGAAGCCCCGCACATGGCCCACATGACAGCGGCGTCACGGATCGCCTCCTCAGCAGAGCACAGGTGCAACTCGTGGCCGCCGCCGCGCGGGAGCAGCCCGCGCTCCAGGGCGCACTGGCGCAGCGCGTCGGCCAGCGTGGCGCGCACGCCTCCAGCGATCCAGCCGTCGCCCTCGACCTTCACCACCTGCTCTTCTCCAGAGCTGCGGGGCACGATCCGGATGCTGCCGTCGCTCCAGCGCCACTCGAGGTCTGCTTCGTCACCCTCTACGCGGAGGCCGTTCCAGCGCGCCGCGGCGCCCTGGTCTGCGTCGCAAGGGCAGCCGTGGCTTATCGAGACACTCCCGCGCAGCCCACGCTCGTGCTCGAGGACGGCTGTGACCGCAACGTGCCCCGCCTGGCCGCGGTGCACGGAGACGACCTCCCCAAAGAGCCGGCGCAGCGCTCGCACAAAATGCACGCCCACGTCCAGGCACCACCCCCCCTCCCAGTCCGCCTCCGCCCGCCAGCCCAGCTGGGGCCGCGCCGGCGCTGGCTCGGAGAAGGCGAGGGAATACCCCCTCGGCTCGCCCACGGCGCCACCCGCAAGGGCTGTCCCGACGGCCCCCAGGCCCGGCTTGTGCGCCCAGTTCTCCAGCACGCACCAGGTCGCGGTCCCGCGGGCGCGCCAGAGCTCCAGCGCCTGCGCGAGCGAGGCGGCGACGGGCTTCTCCGAGAGCACCGCCACTCCCGCGGCGAAGGCCGCGGCCACCGCCTGGGCCATCGAGGCGATCGGCAGCGCCACAATCAGCACGTCCGCCGCGCTCGCAGCCAGCAGCGCCTCCAGAGACGCGAAGCGGGCCACTTCCTTCACCTTCAACGTCCTCTCAGCCTTCTGGAACGCCTCCTCGGAACGCCCTACGATCGCCGCGACCTCCACGCGGAAGCCCTTGGGCTTCAGCTTCAGCAGCGCCGGGATGTGCGCGCGGCCCATTGTGGGAGGGCGGAGAAACACACAACCATCATGCCAGCGCGTCCCAAACGAATGATCCGTGAAACAATG